ATAATAATAATAAATATAATATGCCCGCGAAGAAAACGACGTTTATATAATATTATCATTATAAAGGAGCAGGAGATTGCCGAACCGGACACAGAGGCGGATGACGCAGCTACGGCAACGGTCTTCTTCTTCTTCTTGTCCGTCTAATCTGACCGCGTGCGCCATCGTCCGCGGGTGACCTGTTGCAGAGTTCAGACCCGGAGGCTGCGCACGTATAGCAATAATAATATGTTGGTTTAGCTGCCGCCGCAGATCAGCTCGTGTTTGTGGGGCCGACGGCGTGTGCTCACAATTTTTTTTGCCGCTCCTGTATAATGTAATTGTTCCTTTATTAGGTGACTGCAGCAGAGCACCTCGGCTGTCCGCTACCGTGAACACTATGTCATAATAATAATAATAATAATAATAATAATAATGAGTCTAGTCCTTGGATTGAGCGAATTATTAAGTGGAGGTGCTCAACCCGACGGTTTAAAATTTTTGGTTAAAAGTGCAAAATTTATTTAACACAGATATTTGTCTCCACACACCCCCTCTTTCATGAATTTTAAATACTGCATTTCAGTTTAGTTAAAGCATTTTAACTTTACTATATTCCAAGTATACTATATTTAACTATGTAACATGTAAGTGAATTTGGATTTATATTTTATGTTCGAATTATTTTTCAGAATTTTTCCAAATTACATTTCATTTATTCAATGACTTAAAAAAGTCATTTTTAATTTTATATTATTTCCATTTTGATAGCAATAATACCTACAACCTACATGTTTCTGTAGGAAATAAAAAAATATAACGATTAATGATAATAGCATAGTTTAAACGACCTTAATTAATTGACGACATTATTACCTATGTCAATTGTAAACTCGATTCCATAGATATTTTATAACACAATAGTTTAATCTACATTTGTACACATTTGTGTACTATTAAAGTAGGAAAATAATAAGTGTGGTACAATATAAACCAACTATAATTTTAAAAAAAATAGGAAGGAATTAGGTAGTCTAAACCACAGAAAAATCACAAAATAAAAATAGTTTAATATTATATTTGATAGTATGGTAATTTGAGTTTTTAACAGGTATGCGTTGGACCTATACACAAACAAAACATTCAGAAGACATTGAACTATTCCCAGATGAATACTTGGACTTCTATCTTTAATTCATTTCGAGTAAAAGTATCGTTGCCAGTGATTTCGAAGATGAAGTGCAGTTTTTAATACCTACCTAAATATAACTAAAAATATTTATAATTATTTGTATAGGTTTCATTTTTTAGATTTTTGATAAAAGGGCACATTTGAATCAACTTTGAACTTGTATAGAATGAATCAAATATTTTTACAGAATCAAAATTTGCTATAAATACTGAGTACCGTATAAATAATGAGGATAAAAAAAAATTATCTACATACTTATTATGTTTTGGAGGTTATGCAATTTTATATAATTCCCCGAAACGTCACCTATTGAAACATTTACCAACAAAAAGTAATTCGAATCACTATTACACGCAACAAGAAACCAGCAAGTATTAACTTGAATGAAATTTAATTTATATTCTAGTATTCAAAATATTACAACAATGACAATCGAATCTAATACCTGGTGACCGTGCTCAGCTATAGTTCAGACTTAAATTTAAATAAAACCCAAAAAACGCACATAATTTTTTCCAGATATGAGACCTTGACCAATGAGTTGCTTTTATCAAAATTCCCCAAGTAACGAACTTCTGACAAAATCCAGTTTGAGAAAAAAAAAATGTACAGGCATGAAATTGTTGCTCAGTTAATACCGGTAATAGTATAGAATAATAGCTATTCCCGAGTCATTGCATATGCACTTTTAATATTTTGAATGGTTTCAAAATTTGAAGTTCCGGTTATTGGATCTGTAGTAGTTGTAGATCTATAGTATAGTACAATCAATTATAAACAATGTTTATACTGTACATTTTGTTGATACCGTACCGGTTCTTCGTACACGATATTTATAAGTTATACCTAACCATGCCAATATATTTTTTAACGGCTTTTCGATGTCAAAGTACGAATATAGCTAATATTTGTTGAAAAAAAAAATAAATTGCTGTTTTTCCGAAATAAAAAAAATAATATTTTCTTTAACGTAAGGTATTAACTTTTCTGCAGTTTCACTTTCCCAATGACAGGTTAGGTTATCTCGTCGTGGTCATCATAACATATCGGCCAGGTACCAGATTTAAAGATGTAAGGTGCTGATATGAATAATTTTTGAAGATTTTTAAGAAAATACATTTATATATTTATACCACTACATAATAATATTATTTTAGTAGCAAGTAAGTACCATTATAACATTCAGATAATAATTTATTTGCTAAGAGTTAGTTTAATATCAAGTATAATTTTCACATATTAAAGAAATGCAAATAATTACGTATAAATTACTATGACTTGGATTTTGAATAGATATTATGCTTTTCGATTAATTGTTTTTTTAAATGATTTATAATCTTTTAAGAACCACAGAGTTGTATTTTTAAAGTTTTGGTAAAAGCTAAAAATGTAATAAATATATTTGAATAGATCAAAAAATAATTTTGATGCTAAATAAATAATAATTGTTGTGTTATTTTAATAATATATTTAAAGTAGGTATTATAGATTCGTCTAAATTGCGCTCAAATTATCTACGTCTATACATTTTTGTAAAATATTTAGCCTTTTGAGTATTCAAAGAAAATCAGTTTCTAACTAGTTATTTGATTTATTAAAAAAAATACTTTCGTTTTAGCCGTATATAGACACATAATACATATAGTTATGAAGAATGCAACATAATAATATCTAAAACAGTTATGTTATTGATCATTGGACAAATCATGAGCTTATGCCGTTATTGGTCCGATCTCTCTATCAAATGATTATATAGTATATACTTATACTTTGGTGAAATCGTTGGAAATGTAATATTTTTTTCTGAAAAAATAGTATATTATTTTAGATTTTGCTTACCTAATTACTTTAAAAAATGTCTTAAATATTCTAAAGGTTCTGAAAAAATGTCTCTTATGATAAGGCCATAACCAAAGGATATCAATCATACTAAGTCCAGAATTTCAATTGTCATGAGCTTAATAATTATTTACTGTTGTTATAATTCAGTTGGTATGTGCATGTGTACAGTGTATACATTAGGTAAGTACCTATCTATCTCAAGATATATAAATTATACAGGCACAGCATACTTTAGTAGCTTTATCATATACATAAATAGACATTTTAAAATTCTTCGATATTTTCAAAGATGGTCAAATATAAATGTATAATGATATGCAATAGCTTAATTTGGTTTAGTTGAATATATCATCATTAACTTTTAAATTATAATTTTATTGCATAGCAAGTTACCCCTGGCTGCAGGTTTCCCAAACTTTCTAGACACACTGCACTATATCCTATTATATTAGATTTGTATGCAAATTATATTACGCACAATAGTTTATTTATATTTCCAGTTCAACAGTATGTACTATTATTATTATCGAAAATTATCACATACTATCGTATATGACATCCGCGTAACTGTCACATATCAGTTTTTCGTTTTTTTATTATTATTTATATTTCCTTGATATTGGAAAATCGTTTATTAGGTCATTGACAGTATAGACCAACTATACATTTACTTATATAAAAGAATATAAGTATGTATACCTAAACAACATAATGTTGTATAATATATTAAGATTCTTATATTCAAGATAAATTATATATGAACAGAAATATGATCTAATATGAATCCATGATTGGGTAATGAATCAGACATCAATAATAAACTAGTGGAGTATGACTGTGTAAAATTAACTAGTTACAAAAAGCCTACATTCGTAGTCTTCTACAAATTAAAATTTTTTAAAAATATTTTGTTTAGTGTTCTAGGCTTTCTGAATAAAATATTTCTCACGTAGATAAAAATTTAATGTACATCATTTATTCTAATTTTCTGCAAAATTTTTGTACTTAGTTTTTAAGATTACATTTTATAATTTTTAATAAACTCAGTTGTTATGGTATATTTTAAAATTTATTGAAAACTCATTTTATTATAAATATACAGTAGAATCTCGATCAACCGTCATTCTTTTAACCATCCCTATCTGTGATCAGTCATTACTCATTTGTCTAAAAACTTTTAATAAATTTAGTCAAAAAAAACTTTTTTACTGAAGTCAAAATTGGTAAAAATACACTCCAATAAAAAATTAAATCAAGGTTGAAATTTTATTTTGGGGAAAAATTGGGTTATGAAAGTCCATTTTTCTGGGTTATTGTAATTAATTTTTTGCCCTCCCCCCCTAGAATCATTCCCAAGTGCCACCTATGGACTACCCACAAATGTCTGATTTTAAATAATTATTGTTATTACTTTGAAAATGTTTACGAATTATTAAATACATTGATAATATATTATTAATTATTGCTTACCTAGTCGTTACTATAATTTTCAAAACATCATAAAGTGATTTTATACACACAATAGTATTATCTCAATCGTAGGTAGGTATACTTGAAGTCTAATAACTCAATTAAAATTCGTTTGAGTTATAACATTTTGACGTATCGACATTTAAAAAAAATCATGTTTTTCTACAAAACACCCCTATAAAATAGCATAAAAAACCTAATGAGTATTTGAAAGTGCAGGTAATCTACGCTTACAAATTCTAAAAATTCTAAGAAATTCATGTATATAAACACATATACAACGTATACACGTATACAAACACACACACATATATATATATATACGCTTGGTGAATCACCCTTATAAACATATATGATAATAATAATAATAATAATAATAATAATACGACGATGATAACAATATTGTGACTCGGATGAGCGCGTTGATCGGTGGAGAAAAATCGGCGGCACGGAAGGGGCGTGTTCATGCGAGCCGCGAAGAGTGGCACTAATATCCCGGCGAGCGATAGTGCGGCGGCCGCGAATTAACAGTCAGCCGGAGAACACGATATAACGTCGATAACGGACAGTCGGTCGGGACGCGCATGTGACCACAACAGAATATCGCGCCGTTTATTTTTGTTTCTCCGTGGTTCTCTGATAGTTTCGTCGGTGTTGCGGTGCTCCGTCTCGTGATTTTCCGCTCGCACAAGACCCAAATGTACCTGACGATGTACTACAGCAGTACAACGTAATAAAATCATAATATTATTATAATAAGGGTATAGCACGGTATACCAGACGACGACTGTTGACTATATTAGTGCCACCTCGTATAGACATCGCTCTGAAGCAGCGGAGCAACTAGAGGGGACGTCGTCGCCACGCCGGACGCCTACATTTAAGTAAGTGCCGACGATGGCGTTACCTTGATAATAATAATAATAGTAGTCGTAACTGATTTTTTCGATTTTGTAAACCATAATAATAGGGAGGTAGATAATTATTTTCCTTTTACTTGTCAATAATAATTTATTCCAGCCAATTATTTTATGATATATCAGCTTATTTTTTATTTACATATGTAATTATGCTATAATTATACATGCTATATAATAGCTATATCAGACACAAAACGATTAATAAATCAATAAAAAAATCACTAACGGATGCATATCTAAAGTTAAGCTTAGCCATCTAATTCTACCATTTTTAATCTACGAATAATTGGTCACTATGTTTCCATATTTATTTAAACACAAACTCTGAGATGCAACAAGGGTTTTATTGATAGTACAGAGAGTCGAGGTACATGTATCTGTTTGATCATCATCATTGTATATTATTTATTTGTCATTAAGCATTTCTCAGGATAAAATCTACCCATAAGGGGTGATTCACTAAACATTGTCATTGTCACCCCGTTTTCTTTATAGTGATCAATCTATTAAAATTCCAATTTTTGGAATTTCAAAGAAAGAAGTTTGTATCACTATAAGACATTCCTTGGATTTAAAGATAAAAAATCTAAGTACCTAAATGAAAATATGGTATTTTTTAAGTACCTGTACTTAAAAAATAAAAATACATCCGTATAAAATAAATACATTATTAAAGGAAAAAATTAAGGTGAGCATACTTGGTGAATCACCCCGTTATCATCAAAGCGATGATATTTTTGGCTAAATAAATTAAAACCCTCTTGTTTTGAACAATGGTCATACCTAAAATAATCTTATACAAGTTTAAAAACCATAGGTAAAATATTATTTTTGATGAAGACAAAAAGTGGACATATTAAAATTTTACAAAACAATACAGGTCCTAAAAAATATTAAATTTACTTTTAAATTAAAATCTGTAAAAATTAAAACAATTTCTAAGACGATCTAATATCTATGAAGTATATTGTACAATATAGTATATACGGATTATTCAGCTTAACTATATAGTCTATAACTAATAATAATATGTGTAATCAAAATGTTTGAATTGATTGTTATTTATAAAACTAATAAAACTATGATGATTACTAACTAATTTTACCTAGTTGGCTAGGTATAAAGTTAATATACAATTTTTATTGCATTTTTCGTCTATTATTATAATTAATTGAGACTATATGTAGCTGTTTTAACAGTTTAATAATAATTTAAAAAAAAATCTTGTATGCTTACAAAAATGGGAATATTATCATTATTATTGAATTAATTTTGGTTGACATATTATTGTGTATGCCATCTCAACACTTTATAAATATATTTTTTACGTGATTTACATTTCTTTTAAAAACTTAAAACCATACTATAATAAATTGTCTTAATTGTATACACGTATAAGTCAATAATTAATTAATATACAATATAATTATTGGTTAGATAACAGACTTAAGTTAATAAATTTAACGATTTACTGTGAATGTGATACATTATAATATCAAGTAATAATACTAGGTAAATAATACTATAGGTATTTAAAATGATCATTTAGTCGTATTGAGCATTCTATAATATTAATTTAAAGAAAAATCTTATATTATAATAAGAATTGTATTAAAGACGTTCACTTCGAAAAGATGCTATATAACGTTATTCCCATCTAATTGCGTTGATAGATAGGAATAGGCACTGGAATATTAATCATTTTTTTAACTAACCCGTAGACAATAAACACAAATTTTAAATTAAATTAAATTAAGCTATATCAAGTGATCACGTATTGTTATTAAAAACTATCGCACACTTTCACTGAGATCTACGTGAGTCGTGAATACAAATAAAGTAAAAAGAGTGCTCACGTTTTGGTTTGAGTTGCAATTAATTTCATACAATATTTGTGTTTTTACTCATAATATTATAATAATAACTGAAATATAATTATTATATTTTATATGAGAATTTTTCTCATAGTATTGTGCAATACGAAACGTTAGGATTGCCGTAATGAATGTATACAAGTAACTAAGAAAATAATAATAATGTGTTAAGTATGAATATTAAAAAAAAAAATACCAAACAATGACCTTATGTAATCTCACAACATCTACTGTTAAACATTTTAACTGGGTAATGAAAAGCGAATATACATTAGGTCACTATGGTTGAATATATTATAATATACTGAAATGTGCCTAGAAAGTTTGGAAATCCTCAATTTGTATATTATAACCGAGATTATAACCTATTGAATATCGCATATTCGCATATTATACATGTGACTGTTGTCTGTTAATGATTAATTCAATTTAATTAGCGATTAATGCGATCGCAATGTATACTTAATACTTTCAATTCTTGGTAATCTCTGATCACTGCATATTTTATTATTATGAACGTGATATCCACTGCAAGAGTTAAAAATATTCTAGAAATTTACTGCACAGTGTCGGCATAATTGCAAAAGTTAGAATTTAGTAATGAGTAATGACTAATAATGATAGGCAAGTACCATCTTAGTAAAGTAATAGGTAGCTTAGGTTTATTTTAAAGAATTGATAATACTTAAATAATCAAATAAATTTAGTTTTTAAGATATGATATTGTTTAACCATAAGAAGTATCTGCAGATATCAATAATCTAAACTACGAAAACATATTATATTATAATGATTAAAGAGTAATTGAGGATAAAAATTAAAAAGTGGTAATAGTGTAGATACAACTATTCAAAAAAATAAAAATAAAATATATTATTAGTTCTTACACATATTGCAAATACATACACATATTTGTATATACATAGTAATACTTGCATACATCGGTGTCTTAATCGAATTAGAACTAAATTTACATAATTCTATTCAAAAAATGTTGTAATATAATAGGAAATGATTTTTTTTCTTTCCCGTTGAGACTTCGTAATAATATGAAAGTTTTACTGTAAGTATTATATATCTATAATTATTCGACTAAATATAATCATGGGATGAATTAAGGTAAACTTCAAATAAATTCTTATTTTAAATTCTAATTACTATAAATTAATGTGACAATGTATAAAATTAGATGTAGACCAGATGACGTCAGTATTTTACGATTACCATGTTTACGTATCATGTATGGGTACTATAGTAGGTATAATTTATATGATAATACATTAATACCTAATGGAATATAGATCTTCCTAATTAAAAATCTTGATGGTAGACATAAATACGTGCTACTATTTAGTATTTAATATGCAGTATGAACACTGACCTGCATTTATTCATTAATATATAGAAAAATATCAGAATACATATGAGTTAATGATTTTGGTTCGTATTTTTAGTAGATTATTCGCCGATAAGAAGATCTCTGATGAACACGCTGTACATAAAAGTTGACAAATTCTCAATGTCTATGGGTAGACAAATAGAAATACGTTTCATTTATTTTTTGTCTCTCAACAATACGAAGTATGTAGGCAGATATTCATAACATTGTGTTTCAATTAGTATACGTACCACATTCTAGGGAAAAATGATAGGAACTATAACATAACGGATCCATATATTATACAAAACAAATGGGTTGTTCAGTTGTTGTGAGAAGCGGCGGCATCGATATTTCGCCAAAAACTAAATACTTATGTATTTATCCTCAGACGTCTCGATTAAACGGTTTCGTAATAACAATATAATACCTCAGACAGCCGCCATACATACCTGCGGTTTATTCCGTTTTTCGTAATACCTAGTAATAATTATTTGTCGAAAATCCGGTGACAAAAAAAAAAAAAAAAATTTAGGTAAATAATATTAGATACGTACTTTTAGGCTGTATATGCTCAGAAACGTACCTACATAAGATATGTGTTTATGTTTCGAACGACTTATGGGAATATTATTATTGTTATACATGTATAACGACGCGTCTCGCGGAGACCAGACGGAAAATGTTACGTAGCGGATGATAATCGTCTTCAATATTGTCCGGAGTGTATAACGGTGAAAGCATTTCGACTGCAATTTACGCGAAAAATACCACCGTCGATAATTTAAATATGTACGTTTACCTACATATAATAACGAATACAATACCGAAAAAAGAAGTGCAACCAATTGATATTTGCCGAAGATATCTTTGCGGTCGTTTTTTATTATTATTATTTATTATATATAATTTTATTATTTTTGCTTATTACGCCTATATTGTAAGTATATACGCAACATCCCGTTCGTCCGCATGCATACGCGATAGAACACTATACGTGGTACCTATAATATATAGGTAGGTAGTTATATGCTCTGGTTTCGAAATATCTGCCTAGTGGTCACCACCATTGGCCATAACAAAACCATTTTGCTTCGGGTCGTGATTGAGTTGAAACGCCAAATAATACCCAGCCGATTCCCGATTTTTATTTTATTACGATTAATAATATTATGTTACTGCAGAAGGTGCCACAATAAATTATTACAATGCATATAGTAAGTATCTACATATATATTATATTATGTAGTCTGCTTATTATGTTGTTACTAGTTATTGTGTGTTTGTAAAATATATGATGATATGGACGATAAATGAATACCATATTATATATAATATAGTATACATATATATTGCGTGAGAACCTCCAAATCGATTGTTCTAGTTTCTGGATTTTGGGTCATACATTATAATGTACTGTATAATACTATTAGTACTTTAGACAATATTCAGTTTATAATTTATATGGTAAGTACCTGCACTCAAAATTTGTATCGACGATAATTAATACAAATATATTTTATTATACGAGGATATAGAACAAGCAAAAACCTAGTACCTACAACCTATATAATATATAAACTAAGTATAGATACAATTGAATGTAGTTCATTTGACAATTGATACCTAATAACATACCTATTATAATATAAACGCCTCGCCGTATAGCGTGTTGCTGAAAAAAAACCGATCTGTGCTGTAACGATTAACGG